CAGACCCAACAAAAGAGCAAGTGGGAGTTGCATTGTATATATATAAAATATCACTATATCTCTACAGAAATACACAAAACCAAGCATGAAAATCTCCTAGAATCCATATGGGTCAATATAAAAGGGGAGAAAATGACATTGCTACAGGAGTATACTACAAGCAACCCATCAAGCAGAAGAAATAGATGAACTCTTTGCTAATCAATTAACGAATGTATCTGCAAAGATGAAGTCAGGAAAGCAAAGGCTCAGAATGAACAAAGACTTGCAACAAAAGTTAAAGATAATAAAGTTTCTTTCAACATATAAATAAAAAGAAAAAAGTCAAGAGAGAAGATGGCAAAGAAGTAACAGGCAGTAGAGAGAAAGCAAAGCTGCTTAACTCATTCTCTGCATCAGTCTTCACGCAAAAAGAAAGTATAGCCCAACCTACCAAAAACATAACTGTAAAAAACAGACTAGAAATAAAAATTAAAATAAGCAAGAAAATGGTAAGAGAACACCTGTCTGATATTGATGAACATAAATCACTGAGACTTGATGGACTACACCCGAGCTCTGAAGGAGCTGGCAGATGTCATCTCAGAACCACTGTACCATATATTTCAAAAATTCTGGAACACCAGGGAACTACCAGAGGATTGGAAAAGGGGAAAAGGGAAAAAACAGACCAACCTATCAAAAATAGTGCCATAAAAAACAGAATAGAAACACAAGTTAAGATAGGCAAGAAAATGATAAGTGAGCACCTGCCCAGCCTAGACGAGTTCAAATCACTGGGACCAGATGGATTACACCCCAAGGTTCTCAAGGAACTGGCAGATGTGATCTCAGAACCACTGAACTATATTTTTCAAAGATCCTGGAGCACTGGGGAACTACCAGAGGACTGGAAAAGAGCTGATGTGGTTCCCATCTCCAAAAAAAGGGAAAAAACAGACCCAGGAACTACAGACCAATCAGCCTGACATCAATACCTGGGAAGATACTGGAATAAATAATAATAAAAAACAGATCTGTGAACATCTAGAAACAAATAAAGTTATAACTGGTAGCAAGCACAGGTTTGTCAAAAACAGATCATGCCAAACCAATCTTATTTCATTCTTTGACAAAGTGACTAAATCAGTAGACCAGCAAAATGCTGTGGACATAGTATATTTAGATTTCAGCAAGGCATTTGACAAAGTAGACCACAAACTACTTCTTGGTAAGCTAGAAAAAGGTGAAATAGACAACATCACCACCAGATGGTTTTGTAAAGGGCTGACAAACCGTACTCAACAAGTCGTCCTTAATGGACTACTCTACAAGGAGAGAAGTAAGCAGTGGGGTACCACAAGGCTCCGTCTTAGGCCCAGTACTCTTCAATATCTTCAAAAATGACTTAGATGAGGGAATAGAAGGGGAACTCATTCAATTTGCAGATGACACTAAGCTGGCAGGAATAGCCAACACCTCAGAAGACAAGGTCAGGATCCAAAAAGATCTTGACAGTCTTGAACAATGGGCCCTATCTGACAAAATGAACTTTAATGTGGAGAAAAGCAAGGTTTTACACCTGGGCAGGAAAAGCCAAAGGTACGAGTACAGATTAAGCAAAACCTGGCTCGAAAACAGTAACTGTGAGAGGGACCTTGGAGTCCTAGTGGATGATCACTTAAACATGAGCCAGCACTGTGCAGCAGCAGCCAAAAAAGTCAATACAATCTTGATTGTATAAACAGAGGCATAGAATCAAAATCACATGAAGTATTAGTACCGCTTTATAAAGCCTTAGTAAAGCCACATCTGGAATACTGGATCCAGTTTTGGTCACATTACAAAAAAGATGTTGAGAGTTTAGGAAAAAGTGCAAAGAAGAGCAACTAAGATGATTAAAGGCCTGGAGACTAAAACATATAAAGAATTGTTGCAGGATTTGGGAATGGCCAGTATAGCGAAAAGAAGGACTAGGAGTGACATGATAGCAGTATTCCAGTATTTGAGAGACTGCCACAAGGAGGAGAGTCAACTTATTTTCCAAAGCACTAGAAACAATGGATGGAAACTGGTCAGAGAGAAGCAACCTGTATTTAAGGAGAAACTTCCTAACAGCGAGAACAATTAACCAGTGGAACAGCTTGCCTTCAGACGTTGTGGGTGCTCCATCACTGGAGATTTTTAAGAAGAGACTGGTCAGCCACTTGTCTGAAATGATATAGAAACCTCCAAGGTCTCTCTTCCAACTCTATTCTGATTCTGAAGACAGAAGAGTAAGGGATTTCCCTCACTGGTAGCATCTCCCTCATAACAAGGCATTCACAAAGCTCTCAGATCCTGTTCAGTGTCTGTGCGTGCACACAGCTTTTCTGTCATTCCCCTGCTCTGCTAAGAAAGGTTTTGAATGGTATTGCCATGCAGCTTTCATTTATAATGGATCGTCTCTTGCTATTGTCTCTTAGCCAGACATATGTAAAGTGCAAATAAAGACATACCACACCATCACAGAAGTGGGAAATGCTACCGTTTATTGTTGCCTCAAGTAAGAACCCAAGTAAGTTTCTTCACCTGGCCGTATTTATGCTGCCCTTCCTTTAAGGGAAGAAGTGTTACAGTTCCACCACCACCACTGACCTGCTGGCTATGGGGGAAATGATTCTCTGGAGTGCAGGAGGTTGCGAAGGGAAGTAGCCAGGAGCACATAACATAAGGGTACTGCTTATAAGCGCTACGTGCTTAGAGCTTGAAGCACTGCTCACACCCACTTCACGGTCTGCTTCTGTTGCTCCCCGCTGGGAGGAGGTTTCGAAGTATTTATAGCGGAACTACTATTCCATTCTATTTTGATTAGCGTACATTTAAAGTGACAATAAAGTTTTTATTCTATTCTATTATTCTATTTTATTGTTTAGTTGTTAAGCGCATTCAAGGAGTTCCAGAATACGCTCCCTACTGTTGCTGAAAAGCAGACTTCTCGGATTCTTAAAAACGGCTTTGGTTAGACGAAAACAAAGTTTCCCAAACTCCAGAAGGAACAACGGCTGCCATGCTGAAATGCTGACATCTCCTTTAGTAGAAAGGAGCTTGCAGAGGGAGGAGACCCCCTCCGGGCACTGCGCCATGAGAAACCCGCTCCCCGCCCAAGGGAGGCCCGTCTGGGGGTCTTCAGGCCTCCTTCGGCCCCTGGCCCGGCCTCGGCCCCCCCAGCACAGCCCCGGCCACCAGAACTCCGCCGCGCCGAAGCGGCCTCTCCGGTCTGACGGGCGGACGGGCGGGCGCGGGCGCCCACCCACAGCGCCGGAAGCAGCGCGAGCGGTCAGTGACGTCATCGGGGCGCGCGGGCAGCGACGTTTCCTCCGCCATGAGGGCCGCGCCGGGCCGCGCCAAGAGCCCCGAGCCGGCCGCGCCGCCTTTCCCTCTGCCCAGCTACCTGCTGGTAAGCCGCGCCCGAAGAGCCCGAAGGGGCCCCGGCTGGCTGGCTGCGTTTTGGGGGGGTGGGCTGGGGGGCGGCCCTCTCCCTCCCTCCCTCTCTCCGCCCTGAGCGGAGCCCGGCGGGGCGGGTGGGTCGGCCGGCCGGGCGGGCGGGCGCCGAGGAGGGGGCTCCCCGGGGAAGGAGGTTGTTGGGCGGGCGGTCCCCGCCAACAGCTGGCTTCGGTCTTGCGGCCCTCCCGGCCACGAAAGAAATCCTCCCGGCTTCGGTGAAGGGAGCCGCCTCCTCTTTCTCAGGCTGAAGGGAGCCGGTTCCCTCCGCTGTCTTCCCACGACTCGGCTTTTGCTCTTTCCCCAGCACCGACCGACCCATTCACCCCGAAGACACGCAGCCTGGGACCCACAAAAATATGTTTTCAAAAGTCAGAAAGAGTAAAAAGGAAGTTGCCTTGCCTTCTCCGCCTTAAAAATGTACACAATTAGAATTCATACACATAAAATACTAATAAAACATCTGCTATTCAAAATAAAAGTTAAGTCATATATTAATGCCACCAAGAAAATTGTGAACATTACATTAAATTTTTAATAGTATTACTTTTTTGAAGGAAAAGGTCCACAAAGGCAAAAGTGCCTAGGGCCCAAAACAGGTCATAATGCAGCCTAGACTTAGACTGAGAAAGGACTAAAAGGAAAAATAAAACTCTGCTGATGTCCACATTGCGGTGACACTGGATATTGACTGCAGAGTAGTCATTTCTATGTTTATTATAAATTTGGGTTTATTGATCATCTTGGTCAGATTTCCCCCCTGAATTGTATGCAGCCTTTTATTTGGCATTTGGATAAGCTAGCTAATAAGTACCCCTTCTAGCAAAACTTGTCTTGGGTCTCTGGCAAAATATTAGGTCGCACCTCTTCTTTTACTTTCAGGCAAAGTAAGCTGCACACTTTAATGTAAAGTGTTTCTTTTCTACTCTGTAAAAAGGGAAGACAGAAGTCTATGCATTTGTTGACTCACAAGGAGAGTGAACATGGGTCTCAGGCAGAGGATCATCAGCAGGAATTTTTGTGGTTTATGTGCCTCCCCCCCCCCCCCNCCCCCCCCCCCCGCCCGATTGCCAATACAGCCTTGAAAGAAAGGGTATAAGAAGTCTCTATTAAGACTTATGTCATATTCCAACAGCATATTTAGAGTTTATTTACCAGCAGCTTAAGTGGTTTCTTGTAGATAAGTGGAATTAAAACATAATTCTGTATAAAATTCTGTTTGAATTAAGAGAAACAGAATTGCTGCTACAGTTCTCATCCAATTCATATTTGCTCTGGTTCTAGGCTGCTTAAATGTTGAAATCAATCAATATGGTAATTGTGTTGATATAAAGGAAACATTTGCCAAACATTTAAATAGAGTTTCATTGCTTTATCTCAGAAAGGTGAATTGATAGGTTCTCCTGTTTGAGCAGGGGGTTAGACTAGAAGACCTCCAAGGTCCCTTCCAGCTCTATGCTGATTGATTGATTGATACTCTTTTCTGTTTGAAACAGGCTAATTTAAAGGCTGACTGTCTGAACAAGCCTTTTGCTCAGAGGTGCCATGATCTCATGACAATTATTGAAGATTTTCCTGCCAAGGTAGGAAGTTTGCCCCTAGCCAGGGCCTCTGATAACATATTTTTTTCTTCTTTCAAGGGAACAGGCCTTATTGCTTTCAGGCTAAGGCAAGGTATGAATAGGAAGACCTGGCTGGAAAGTTCAGAAGGGGAATTTAAGAGAAAGCCCTTTCATATTTTATTCTTGAAATCAAGATTTTTAACCAGGCCAATTAGATTGAGAAAGGACTAGAAGGAGAAATAAAACTTTGGGGTTCTAAATAGAAGGGAAAAAAAGATGAATAGGCAGGAGTCTCTAATAGTGACCTACACTGCATGTGCCATGTTTGTTTTCCTGCTTGAAAACAACCTGGCGTCTTTTTCTAACAAGCACAAACTCTCAGCAGCTCTGGAAAAGCAGTGAGTGTCTGTGCTTCAGCCAGTAGAAAGGGCAATTGTTCATTAGGTATAAAACTATAATTGTATATGGAAGAGCTGCAGACTAGATAATGGTCAGATAAGAGGCAGCTAAGCCTGCAGAAGCAGGGGGGGGGGGCATGACAAACATCTCAGACAAACATCTTCCTAGTTTCTTAGACTATAAAGGCAAGAGGAGAGGATATTCCTATCAGACTTGCTTCTGTTAATGTAACCTTACAGTAAAGTTACTGGTATTACTAGTTGTTCCAGGGATGCTTTTTGTCTGGGCTACCTCGCAAGGCTGACAAGAACGGAAACTGATCCTGGAAGCAATTCTCTGTAAGTTAGGCTGATTGCGCCCACTGGCCTGTGAGCCCACTGGCTTAGGAAGGGAAGCAGGATCAGGGATTTGACAGAACCGCTTCTAGAGCTTCCCACTGATGCATGCAGAGAAAAATGATACTACAAGGAATCCGAAATAAACCCAAGAGTCTGTGGGCACAAGTGGTATTTTCATCCGCCTTCCAGTCCATGAAAAAGAACCAGAAAGGGTGTTTTTTAAAAATAAAAATAAAAATCTGTTAAAGTATTAATTCTGAAAATTATGGTCCACTTGAAGCTGCCAAGAGGGCTTTTCAGAAGGCTGAGGAAGTCACAAGGATCAACTGTCCTTGAAGTGATACAAATTAATATGGGAAAAGTTGGTGAAAGTGGAAGTAGCAGGGACATTAAAGAAAAGGACCTCTGTGGTGCTTCAGATTCTCCTTGTAAGGCAGATGGAAACAATGCAAGCAGGTGAAGTGGACTTCAAAAAAGTGGATTTTAGTAGACTCAGAGCAGTAGGATCCCATGGGAAAAGGAGCCCAGGATAGGTGGAATTCTGAAATAAGGGGGTGCTAAGAGCACAATTGCAAACAGTTGAGGAGAAAAGAGGGAGGGCAGCAGAAGAAGCCAAGAAAGAGCTTAGTGAAGCTCTAGAGACAAACATGGACCCGGGCAGGTAGTCCTCGAGTTACTATGCTAATTGGGACCAGATTTCCTATCACTAAGCAGTGTGGTTGTAAAGCTTGACATCATGTGACCATATCGCTTAGCAACAGCAATCCCAGCAGTCACTGTTGCTGTTAACCGAATCCCGCATGTCATTAAGTGAGGACCCCAGCATGCCCGTATGTGTGTGTATCTGTGATTATAATTATAAATAAAAATTAAGCCAAAATTTGAAGTGGCTCTTCGTCCACTGGCAAGGAAAGCCCGGCTCTCCCAGGAGCCGGAAATGGCCCAGGGGGCGAGAGGGTCTGGGGGAAGCCATCTCTCTTCTGATTCCAGCTATTCTCTTCTGCAAAGGAGCTGCACGCCATCTTTCCTTGGCTGGTAGAGAACATTTTTGGCAGTTTGGATGGCATCATTTCAGGGTGGAACCTCCGCTGCCTACAAGGCAGAACAAACTACACCGAGTACAACGTCGCTCTGGACTTCCTGTCCCCCGGGTGAGTTGGCTCAGTCCTGCAGTCAGTGCCTTTGGAGCCCTTTCTGGGGAATTGTGCGCTAGTTTATTAGATCTGTGACCGAAATCATCCAGTGGTTTGATTAGATGATAATGCTCATCGAATACACCCCAGGCCACCCCAATGATGCCCTTGACGTGATGGCCCGGTGTCTGGAGGCCGTACGGGTCTGGATGGGGAGAAACAGACTCAGGCTCAACCCTTCCAAGACGGAGTGGCTGTGGTTGCTGGCTCCAAGGTATGGTCAGCTGACTCCATCGCTGACTATAGGGGGCGAAATTTTGGCCCCCTCGGAGAGGGTACGCAATCTGGGGGTCCTCCTGGATCCACGGCTGACACTGGAAGACCAGTTGACGGCTGTGGCCAGGGGGGCGTTTTACCGGGTACGCCTGGTACGCCAGTTGCGGCCTTTTCTGGACCGGGATGCT